AAAAAAAAAGAAAGAAATGTTTCCTTCTGTGGTGATAAAGCTTAATATCCCCTTGAAGTACAGCTCTGAGACAGATGAAGAAAAGGAGTTCAACTATTCATAGATAGAGACCACGGCTGCTGAAAATATTGCACCAAAATATAAACTGTAAGTATTTTATATCAGTACAAAATAAAAGTGATGTGAAGGCATCTCAGAATCAGGCAAATCTCATCCTAGATATGCTCAAGGGTGCAAAACCAGAAGGCTTTCATTTGAGAAGACAGCCCCAGGATGTCTTGTTCATCTGGGAAGAGGGAAATGTTTTCCCAAGTTAAGCCATTCACATATTCAGAGCCTTCTGCGGATAAGTCCTAAAGGGGATATTTACTGTTTGAGCTCGCAGCAGATGTTGGCATCAGCCACGCAATGTGGTTTATAGGAATACAAAATTCAAGAGTTGTGGGGTAGAAAGGCTTCCACCCAGATTTCTCAAGGCCTGGGAGGCCAGACACTGTGTCGCTGACAGGTTAGTGCATGAATCTGTTAGAGTGAAGCTGAAAGTGCAGTGGAGACTTTGGGAGGTGGAGGTGCCGGGAACATGGAACATCTGCTGAAGAATGCTGCGCACAGTGAGCACAGCCTCCCCAGAAAGTGACCATCTGCTCTGCAAGTGGAAATACATGGGGAGTAGGGCCCCCCAGATTCCTGGAGCCCGCACCTCCCCACGACTCGCTCTGGGTGCTAGACAAGGAACTGTACAACTGAATGTTTGCTCTGCTGGGTTTTGGTCTCACTTTGGTCCCCTTCTTTTCTATCCTCCTATTTCTCTTTCAAAATGAGAATGTTTACACAGTCCCAATGTATTTGGAAATATGCAATATTCTTTTTAATCTTTAAGGTTGAGAATTTGCCTTGAATCTCAGGGAAGACTAGACTTAGACTTTTCACTAAGCTGGAGCTGGTAAAACTTCAGTGAGTTTTACAGATAGACTAAGCACATTTTGCATAAAGAGAGGATGAGAGTTTTTCAGGGGTCAGGGAAAAATGTTATTGTTTACATGTAAAATGTCCCCCCAGAGGCTCATTCAGGGAAGGTAAGTGGATCACGAGACACTGTACTAATCAACAGGTGTATTCATTGGTGAGTGCCATAACTGAATATGCCCCAGGAGGCAACCCCTGGTAGGAGACCAGTCACTGAACTAGAAGAGTGCATTTCATCCCTGCCTCTTCCTTTTTCATTCTGCTTGCTGGTTGCCAGCCAATGAGCAGAGGTGCTTAATCCTGGCCCTTCCACTTGCCTCTTCTGCCTTGGTACCACCAAAACGTGGACTGAAAGTGTGACCCAAACTAGGGTGCTGCTCCTCTGTTTTAGATGTTTGGTATCCTAACGAAGAACAAGAAAGTAACTAAGATAGTGTCTATTGTTGAATACAAATA